GAAACGATCAGCTAGGGATAGGTAACGTGGGGTCGGTCCCTGGAGATACATATTTATGGGAAAACTAAAGGCGACAGCTAGCAGCACTATAAGTATAAGCACAACATAGGTTCTCGCGGGAGTCAGAGCACGAATGAGCTCCGGGAGAAATCATTTTGCAAAATACTCTCAGCAGTAACCGGATTATTCAAATAATCGGAAATGTATACATTTTCTGTAAATTTTATTCTCATTTCATTTGTATATTATTTTTATGTAGCGTTCTTCTACCCTTACAGACGAAGTTTTAGGTTTAAGAAAAATCGTTTTAATCTCGATCCCACTTAATGAATAGTTTTCCAAATTCCAAAATCGTTCAAAACTATAGAACTTACGACCGGAATTGCGTTTTACTCAGTAAAATGCGAATATATTTATATTATATTATTCATTAGGACTTTGCGTAGGTCAAAAAAAAACGCCTTCAATTTTCAAAATACTTCCCCGCGACAGAGAAGCACGAGGGAGGCCTTTCAAGTATTAGTCAATAAAATATCGTGGACGCGTTGACCACAAATATTTCATAGTTCAACTGCGCCCTCTTGCATATTCTTCACTTAATTAACTTAAAATTTTCATCAAAGCTTGAAATTTTAGCACAGAAGTAAACTTATTTAACACTTACCAGATTAACTCGCACACCAGCCTTTCATGTTCACAGTCCATATAGCGTGTTCCGACAAATACAATTAGAACAAGTCCTTCAGGGTCACGGACCCAAAATTTAAAAACATCCCGGGGTCGGTCCTCCCCAGGGTCAGCATCAATGTTCATGCCAATAAGCCGGTCCAAGTTATCCTCTTCTAATACGTTTATTGCTGCGTTTCGCCCGTTCACCTCGTCCCGATTATACACCACAACGATTTGGGAATCAGTAATTATTTTATAGGCATCGCCTAGTGGCCAACAATCCAAAAATCTTTAGGTCAGCGCAATGTAATGGGGAGTCGGTCCTTGGAGATGCATACTTAAAACAACACAGTTAGCACCAAGGAACAGGCCCTCACGGGAGTCAGAGCACGAATGAGCTCCCAGTTTTTTGCCAAGAACCTGTTAGGCATGATGTTTTTCGCAGATATAGAGAATTCGGCAATGGAGTAATATGGCTTTCAGTCCTCGTGTCCTTGCGGGGTAAAACTGCTTATGGAGTCCTCTTGAAATCCGTTTCTCTTGAACCTGGACCCATCGGCAGCTTGGCTAGAGTTTTGAATCCACGAGCTTCCGAAGAAAATCACCGCTGCCACCAGTTGTCGTACCCTCGGGTAGCGTGGAGATGGAGGATATAAATTTTTCGAATTTTTCATTCATAATTGGGTCATTTTTGAAAGATTTAAACCACTGAGTTTCTTTTTTGCTTGTTATGAAAGTTACGTTAGGCGTAAAGAATTTAATGTAGTCGTCAGTTTTCTCAGAGCTCCAATTTTCAGAGGAGTCTAAGTGAAGTGTATCCCCCATAATTTCGCATGCAAATGGCACATAGATAATGCCGTTACCATTAAGGGTCAGTGGAGTCCCCACTGATTGGTCCTGACTGTTGATGCATTGCATCATTGCGGGTTGCGGGGATGCGGTGCTAAAGATCCACGCATCGGATTCTTTTAGCTTGTAGAACACTGGTTCTCTAGAGTTGGGGAGAAATTTCCTTTCACTTTTACTTTGTGTAGTTCTGGTGTTATTGTGGAACAAGGCATGAATACAAGTTCCTGCTTTAAATGACCGGAGTGCCACACTGGGAGGACAGATTGTTATTCCCCTGTTTTCACATTAATACAGGTCCTTGATCTCCATTGGAGCGTATTTTAATTTATTGAGGCTTATTGCTAAAAATGTATGTGGGGGCTCTACATATATATTATAAGAAAAATTGCTATTTACAGGTACTGGGACTAATTTAAAAAGTTCGAAATACCTATCTGCCGTTTCGAGAGGAATTTCCAGCAGAATAATTAATGTATCATTTTCGATTGCGGCGTGAGGCTTTACTAATAAATAATACTTTGCCATGATAGGGAATTTCCTTGAAAGAATAACATATTGCATACCCCCCAAAATTGAAGGAGATTATAAAAACTAAAATACTTCACAAATCTATAAATCAAAGGATAGGCCCCTAGGGAGAGAACTGGCGTTCGACAACTGCGGTCATCTGTCAAGACAATTTGACATTCTAGCACTGCTGATGTCAATCAACTGTACACTCTTTATACATACCCATAATAGCCCAACAAAATAACCCTGTTGACTTAACATCCCCAGAGCGCAAAAAAGAGAAATTAAATCACCCCGGCCGAAAAACACTACGAAACACCGGGAGGAGCGCTTAACTACAAAACTCGAAATAAAACAATTGCTAATAATAAGCCTAAGTCCGCGGAAATTTAGGGTTCGCACAAACACAGGATCCATAGTGATAGTGAGAAGAAAATTAAGACTTTATTCTTTATTAATGACCTTTATTCAGTGCACTTCTCGCAAATATATTAATACTACTATAGTGAAAATGAAAGTAGAAAGATAGGAGCAAATACTTAAATAGGACTAGTTATCTCGTATTGTATGTAAACGGTATCAAAAATTAGAGGGAAGAAAAAGAGAAAGTTGCCAAGTAGGAAAAAAAATGCTGAAATGAAAAAATTCAAGTTTTACCTTAACAAGCCGTATTGCCGGAAGCATTCATCCTGCACAAGGAAATCAAGATAACCAGGAACCGAAAAGATATAAAAAAATATAGAAAAAATCTCCCGGCAACAAGCAACGACGCAAAAAAGTCGAAACTCGGATTGCAACGCAAGAGGGGGGCACGGGGCACACTGTTACACAAATGTCAATTGTGATGCGGGGCCCGTGGTGGAGGGTGACGGGTCCGGCTGAATAGAGTGAAGCACAACAATTCTGGTTTCGTGTACACGAACAAGAACTATGCTAGACAAGGGGCTCGAGCGTCGCGGTGTCGTAGCTGCTGAACTTGTCCTGGAAGCCATCACCCTCACCTTAAATATCCATCGCCGAAGCTAAGGGCACTCGGGCCTAATGAGCCACTCGGTGAGCTTGTGCCCCTGCTGAAGATCGATGGGTATTTTTGGGAGGTGAGTCGTCTGCCAATGTGATGGTCCAGGGCAAGTCGGCTGTGGTGTGCACCACATCAATGGTAGAAACAAGAAGTCGCAGATGACTGGATGGCGACTTAAACGTACGGGTAGGAAAGTCACTGCAAAAAACCGGTAGTCGCAAGATAGGAACACATAAACGCGCTGTTGAACGGAAGGTTGCGGTCGATGAAAACGTTGAATACGGGTAATGAAGGAAAAAAAGAAGATACTTTACAACAACAAAAAAAAACACACAAACACACAATTCAACAGTATTTGACACTTAGTATTCGCAACTTAGATCCACTATTAAAAAATGGACTAATGTCCACTTGGTGGTGACTTGAACGCTCGGTTTGGTGACTTGAACGCACGGTTCGATGACTTGAACGCACGATTAAGATAAGGTGTCATCGGCGATTCAACTAACATTTGTCTTACGACTCCACAGATTTTTGTATCTGCTGGACAACCACCCCCTCCACGGTCACTCACCACTCACCAGCCCCCTAGCTGATCACCCCCGTCATCGCAGTTTTCGTCCATTTTCACGATCAGTCGGAACGACCATACACCTGATTATTGAAATTAGGCATTTAAGTGGGGGTTGCCTTTTTAGGGTTTTGAAGGGGTCTTTACATTTGGTTTAATCTGAACATATTCACTTACTTTTCGTTTTTAATTTGTATCAATCTTTAGCAGCCATCGCGTTGATAAGCTCCATGACTGCAGTCCTGCTTTCCATCTTAATTCGTTCATGGTAATGAAATGCATGTATGCACTATTATTTTCACTACGTCGGCACATGCATCTTCCATTTTTTAGGTTTGTTATATTGAGCTATACACAACACAAGGCATACACAACATGTATCATCTTCTTCTTCGGTAAAAATTTTAAGAGACTTGAAACCAATGTCTTCATCGATGAACTGGACATTTCGTTTCCCAATGAAGTAAAAGTCTTGATTTTTTCTTTTAACGAGTTGAGTGTCCGAGGCCGGAACACTATAAATTTGATTTTCAATGCGTAAATGCCTAGGAAAGTGGCAATTTAACTGTGGAACGTAATTGTTTGAAATAATTCGCATACGGCGTCTGTTTTGTACTTTAATGCATTGTAGATACACACAATTTTGGGAAGACATTATGAGACTCAATTTGTATGTTTTTATTGGTAAATTATGAAATGGTAAGCGCAACTTGTCTGTGCGTGAAAAAACTCGACCACTAGCTGTGAGTCACTCAGTTGATGTGAGGATTGAAACAATGATTTGGCATTTGGCATGATTTGACTAAAGATTTTGATTAATTGCACTTAAAATATCAGAGTAATAACGGGCATCAGAACTACTCTGGAATAGAGTATAATACCACTCAAGGTCTGGAAAATTTTCATAGGTAAAATAACAACTTTTACCCGTTACTTTAGGATTTAAAATTATCTCCTTCACTAAAAATTCAAAAAATATGTTATTCATTGCAAGACTGAACCCTAATTCTTCGTCCATTTGTTTTAACAGTTTAAATACAATCAGTCCGTAGTCCTTAGTGGACAATACGGTCTTTAACCGCAAGATATATTCCCTAAACTGTTCCACACAGTACCCACCATCCTCGACATCGTAAAATCTACAAACTACACCACCAATTATCTCACACACCCTCATCAAAAGCATATTTCTAATTTTACATGGTAACATAATTTGACATTCTAGCACTGCTAGAATGTCATTTAACTTTACACTTTGTACACATAATAACTCTAGGTTTGATGGCGTTGTCGTGTATTCCATGATTCTGTCGACAAAAGAGAGAGGGGGAAAAATTATACTTTTTTCTTTTCTTTGAAGTTATAAATTGTTTTAAATGTAAATTCGAAAATTTAGTAGAAGAAGAAAAAATAATTTTGAATGTGCGATATTTTTCATCTTTCTCAAGATTAAATCGGATAAAACGTACTATATAGTAATGATGTAGAGTCGTAGAGATTGAATAAGCTAAGTAAAAAATGTATGAGCTCAGTTTCAATTCTATAGCAATGAAAACAAAATAATTTGTTTATTAAATAAATTGCATATTAATATCAATGAATTTTAGGGTTACATTGCGGAGTGCTACGCTTGCGGGGCGGCTTATACGGAAAATGAAATGCTCCTTCCTCTCTATCGACCTGAATGTTAATTTCGGTTGGAGATCTGTTCGGACTAAGTTTATATGTTTGAGGAATTCAAGTATGAATCGGTATTTGGAATCCCTTTTCATCCTGAAACAGAAATTCACCTTGCAAATACCACGCTTTAAGAAGTTGAAATACAAATTTTGAGAGGAAACCCTACAGGAAGATAATACTCCTTTATTAAATCTTATGTCTATGTGCCAGGTAATATTAAATGATAATTAAAAAAAAATCCTTCTTCTACGATAATATCATGCTACCCACAATATCCCTCGAGGAACTCCCTTCCCTTATCATTCGCAGAGGACCTAGCGACTGCCGCTGGAGAATGCCGCTAGAATATGTGGCTGGTGTATACTGACAGTAACTCATACCTGCAAATGCCGCCAAAGCTTTGTCGCATGAAACCTGTGGGGAATACGTTTTATTTGGAAATGGGAAGTCTACTTAAAATTGTAAATAATATCACCCAAAGTTCCGTCTTTATTTAAATCGTATGACCACTCACATTCACCTCGGAGGAAAAGCATACATGTGGATACTAGAATTGGCAAAATGGGCAATTCATCTGTAGTGTTCGAGAGTTTTGGCATATTATTAAACTTCAAGGGGTCCACCTGTTTTCCCGATCGGTTCGCTAATAGTTTAGAAAAGAGGAGAATACTCCTATGTCCCGGCAGAGTAGAATTCTTTGTTTCTTCACAGTATGATTGAAACAATGGTTTCACATTAATATAATCTGGAGGAACTAAACCCTGCCTACAATTGGAACATTTATCAGAACAAGACATTGCCTCTTCATTTCGCGTGGGTGTTCCTTGGTTGTAGAAGAAAAGTAACCATTTTTGACAATAAGATCTCTGATGAAAAAAGGTATACAATAAAAGGAAGTTATTATTTTCGGCAGCTGACACGATACTTTCACTCTTCAGGAAGAAGTTTTTTCCCAGAAGTTGGCCGCGGAATCTGATATTGTCCAGCAGGTGCTAATATTCCCGGACCGACCGCATCTACCTGTTTCCTGAATGTAGGAGTCTATCGAATTTGAGAACCCTATATGGAAAACAAAACTTGCCTTTTGATTGTCTACCCCCATTGAAAAGGCGGAGGTTGCAATCATAATTTGTGAACGGCCTCCTAACCATGATTTTAAATTGCATTCTTTCTCGTCGATCGTCAAGTCTGCATGAAATAGGGAACATGAGAATCCTTCCATCTGTAAAAGGGTTTGTAGTTGTACCCCTACATGCTTTTTATTTACGAAAATTATTCCGATTTCCTCCTTTACCCGCAGCAACCTATCAACTATGAGGCGGAGCAATTCTCCTTTAATTCGTCGAAGACTTCTTACTCTCCCATTAGTTAAATGATTAACCGTATCAAATTCTAAGACCATTTCCTCTCTAAAGGAATATTTAAAGAAGGTCTCATATTGGGGTATCCCTAACCAGTTAGTTATGGTTCCAAGAAATTTTTTGTGTATAGAACCAGAGCATCCAACTATTTGGAGGGTTAGGAGTTCTGGTAGTACTTTGAAGAGGTTGAAATAGGATTGTCTATAAGATATTCCTTCCAATAGCAGGACGTGGATTTCATCCAAAACAAGAATCGGATTTTTCCCCATATTTATTGCCCAAAGCACAAATTCCTTAAACTGCCGATTACACGCCAATTTTTCTGGGGTCGTTAAAAGGATAAGAGGTTCTTCATTTTCCAAACGCCATTTGAGAACATGGTAACAGTTCAAAGCCGAATCCAAAGTATTTATGGCGACTACTGGATTAAGGGGTGTTGTGTGCTTTTCTTGATCACAGATGATTGAACAAAGAGGCATCACCACTATTGCAAATTTTTTTTGGAAAATTAGCGGAAGGGTGAAAGTAATTGTTTTTCCATATCCAGTGGGCAGGCAAAAAAAAAAACGTTTTTTCCATCTAAAATTGAATTTATAATGGGAGGTTGTTCTACCCTAAAATGTTTATGCCCGAAAATGGTGATAAGGAGCGGCAATAAATCATTGGCTGTTACATCTCTCGCTGAACAGCGATTCTTCCTGGGAGAAAAAAAAATTGTAACCTATTATAACCCATATAGTGAATATACACACAAAAAAACAGTTAAACGCCCTCCCTAGAACATTGGATTAAACATTGAATTATTCTTGACGCTGTAGCTGTATCAGCATGCGCGACCAGAAGGGACAACCAGCGTTTTCAAGCCGCTTCTCCAAGCAGCATACGCAATAAGCATTCGCCATCAGCATTCGCCAGCAGCATTCGCCAACAGCATTCGCAATCAGCATTCGCTGGTAGCGTCTAATGACTCCTCTGCCTTATCCACCCCACGATTGTGCAAGACGTTTTGCGACTGGTACTCTATTAAGAATGTAGTAACTGAAATTTTCATCTTAATTTACGTCTCATGGATGTATCTTCTGATTGGAAAGCAAATGTTATATTACATATATTTATATCAAGGGGTTGCCGTACCTGCATTCGATGTTCTCCATCGTAAGAAAGCTGTCAGACAGGGAACTTGCTGATGATCCTGATGATTTACGGCTTCCATCTTGTGTTTCGTTGTCTGATGAGGGGGAGGTCACGTCTGTGGTGCATAATCCTCTGCGAAATGGTGTACATCCGGAATCATCGGTTGAGGATGAAGAAGCTTGACGCGACTTTTTCGGTTGAGGATCCGTCAGTTCAGGTTCATCAGAATCAAATGAAATCGGATCAACGACAATTGTATGCTGACCAGTTGTCTTTTTGCACTCAGCTTGTGGCGGTTGGAAGAAGTCTCTAGTAGGTTCCATAGGCAGTTTCACAGCATCCTCAGGTGGATTCTCCCGTGTGTCCATTGGTGAAACGGGCAGAACTTCTGTGTCTGGAACTGTAAATGGCTTTGGGGCCGGCACTTGAGAACAAAGAGTGACTCCAATACTGGCATCATGTACGCCACTCCTAATATTCGTGTCTGGTTCGAAAATTGATTCTTCCTCTTGGGGACCAGCTACCACGTCTTCCTTCGGTAACCTGAAACATGCAAAAGAGGATCTATTAAAAATATGCCTCAGTTAATTACTGATTTGAAAGGCTAAGGGTGCATATATACCCAAAGTGGGGAAAGCACTTGCTGCCAGGAAATGCCACCACTAAGTTACGTGGTTGCAAGTATCACATTAACCCCTAATAACCAAATAACCCCGTTATAGTTATGCGAGGGCTAGTTATCGCATTGTATACACGTTTACAGTATCAGACATTAGAAAAGAAAAAAGGAGAGAGTTGCCGAATAGAAAAAAAAATAATAAATAAAGAATAGGAAAATAAGGAAGAAAGAACAATTTAAAAATTTTACCTTAGCAAACAATATTGCTGGAGGCATTCAGCTTGCGCGTAGAAATCAAAATACTCCAGAATAGAGAACACATATATAGAAAAAGATACGGCTTGAGTCGCAGCCAAGCGATAAACATCGCCACCCGTAAATTCGCCCGAAAAAGTTGAGACGCGAAACCTGTGATGCGGGGCCCGTGACGGGTCCGGCAGTATGTGATGAAGCACAACAACTCCGAAGTTCGTGTATACTAGCAAGAACTGTGCTCGACAAGGGCTCGAGCGTCGCGGTGTCGTAGCTGCTGAACTTGTCCTGAAAGCCACCACCCTCACCTTAAATATCCATCGCCGGAGCTTGGGGCATTCGGGCCTAATGAGCCACTCGGTGAGCTTGTGCCCCAGCTCAAGGTCGATGGGTATTTTTGGGAGGTGAATTGTGGTGCACACCACAGCCGACTTGCCCCCTGAGGCCATCACGTAGCAGAATGCATCCACCAAAAATACCCACCGACCTTGAGTTGGGGCGCAAGCTCACTGATCGGCTCATTAGGCCGAAGCGCCCCAAGCTCGGTCGATGGATATTTAAGGTAGGAGTGGAGGCTCAGGGGACAAGTTCAGCATATAGATTCCTCGAGCTCGTCTCCCTGGTCGAACGCGCTGGAGTGACGTTACTTGTACGATACATCTTGTGTTGACTTCATTCATCGAGGTGCCGGGCCACCCTACGCTCCGCATAGGACCCCCGCATCACACTGGTGGCAGCGAAGACTTCGATCACCCACGCTACCGAGGAGATTCAGCCAAAGATGACTACCCTAAACGTAACCGGGTGAGTCGGGAGCTAGTCTCCACTATTTTTACTCTGTGAAGTGCAATTCTTTTCATTTATGTTATTTTTATGTTTAGAATTAAGCATCTCATGTTTTTGTGTTAGATTAAGTTGAAATGAATAGGTTGATTCAAATCTACCCTCTAGTACGAGGGGCGTTCAATAAGTAAGTATCCCCCCTCTCTAAAATCCATAAGAATGGACCAATTTTAAAAAAACTTGGGCTCAAAATCTGCCTTAGGATATTTTGAGTTCAACGAAACAAACCGCAACAAAATCGGACCATGTGCGGCCGAACGCGAGCCGTTTGAACGCGCCGAGGTGCTCGACGCTCCCGCCAAATCCGCGAGGATTTGAAGTCCGCTACAGGAGAAGAGCTTCTCTGCCAAAGCCTTAGTCGTTCATCACTGACGAAAAATCAAAGAAATTTTTGTAGAATTCGGGGCTTACCTCACTTCTCCACATAACCAGCTCGATCCAAGCAAGTCTGATACTGAGACTAAGACTAAGAGAACAGCTTTTGGATGCCTCGTGCGTGGAAGTCTTTCAGCTGACCGCGGATGAAAGAGTGGACGGCTTCTTTGACCACTTCCACTGATTCAAAATTAACTCCTCCGAGTTCAGATTTCAGATACGATAATAAATAGCAAACCAGACCACCATTTATTCCCGTTCCTGAAATCTGAACTTGGAGGAGTTAATTTTGAATCAGTGGAAGTGGTCAAAGAAGCCGTCCACTCTTTCATCCGCGGTCAGCTGAAAGACTTCCACGCACGAGGCATCCAAAAGCTGTTCTCTTAGTCTTAGTCTCAGTATCAGACTTGCTTGGATCGAGCTGGTTATGTGGAGAAGTGAGGTAAGCCCCTTATTCTACAAAAATTTCTTTGATTTTTCGTCAGTGATGAACGACTAAGGCTTTGGCAGAGAAGCTCTTCTCCTGTAGCGGACTTCAAATCCTCGCGGATTTGGCGGGAGCGTCGAGCACCTCGGCGCGTTCAAACGGCTCGCGTTCGGCCGCACATGGTCCGATTTTGTTGCGGTTTGTTTCGTTGAACTCAAAATATCCTAAGGAAGATTTTGAGCCCAAGTTTTTTTTAAAATTGGTCCATTCTTATGGATTTTAGAGAGGGGGGATACTTACTTATTGAACGCCCCTCGTAGAAAGCATCATATATATAGATGCGGACATCAAAAATAATAAAAGTGCTAGTTCTATAATTAATAGTTTCGAGCATACAATATTTAGAAATATTTACGCTTCAGAAGAAGAGAAAAAATTAGTAGAGATTGCAAAAGAATTTTACGTACTTTTAGATGTGCATGACACAAAATTAGGACAAATAAAAGAATTCATTGATTTCTGTTACCTGATAGGATTTGAGTTAATCTTTAAATAAGAAAATCATAAATCGAGAGAACTAAGATATTTATTCTCACAAAAAATTAAGAGACGGAACAAAAATGTCGAATGATAACAGCCCGAATACCACAGCGGGGCAACCTGCAACAAACAAGCAACAAGACAAATTAATCACAATGATGCTTGAAAAAATGCCGCGGTATTCAACAAAATCTTATGAAACTATCGATTTATTCTTTAAGGAATTTGAAGAAATTGCAACACTTGCGAAGTGGTCAGATTCCATGAAATTTTACTTTTGCAAAACAAAATTAGGAATCGATGCAACTACCTTTTTAAAACAGCATCCCCAATTAAAAGTAGAGTACGAAACACTGAAATCCCTTTTAACTAAGAGATACGAAAAGGAAAAGGATGAGGCACTTGAAAAAATCAAATTTTTCAGTAGGGAACAGCAAAAGAATGAGACAGTAAGAGAATATGCGACTGCCTTAACGAAATTAGGTTATAAGAGCAAAGAAACAGGAGCCGATGAAGCAGAAGAAGCTACTTTACAAAAACAATTATCTGAGCAGTTAAAAACAATTTTTTTAAAGGGCTTGAATGACAACTTAAGGCGATTTGTAGTAGTACGCAGACCTAAAACATTCGAAGACGCAGTCAATGACGCGGCCTTCGAGGAAGATCAAATTATGCTACGTACTTGCGCGTTTTGCCATAAGCATGGGCACCTAGAGTCAGCGTGTAGACTAAAAATTAATCAGACAAATGCAATTCATGACGCTCCTGGTTCTAGCTCACAATACCAGAATAGGAAAAGCCTCCCCGATAACTATAGGATACCAAGATCAAACTATAAAAATACAGCCCCGAGCAGAGGTTCGCCTCCAACCCCTATGTATAACAGGGATAGGCAACCCGCAGCTCCCAAAAATAACTATGAGAGTAATAGAGGATATTACCGTGAAACACCCCCGCGAAATAATTATTATAGAAACGAAACCCCTCGCGGAAATTACAGCCGAAACTTGTATTCTCGCGACAGTACTTTCCGAAATAACTATTCGCGCAACGAGCAAAACCGCGAAAATACAAGAAACTCCCCGAGATATGAAGACAGAAAAACTCCCCAGCAAACATCCTATCGCGAGCCCGAGAGACAAAATAAAGCTGGAATCCCAAACTTGCCGAATACAAAACCTGCAAATGCCTACTATAAAGGAAAAAATTTTCACTAAGCCCCACAGCTAGTGGGGCAGAAATACTAAAACCCCATAATAACGAAACACCCCGTAACTATGAAATACCTTTTGAGAGAAATGAGTTAGGATACATTGCGACCTTTAAAATAAGAAATGTAGAAAGCCCTCTAAAACTATTAGCTGACACAGGATCTGCGGTGAGCATCCTGAAAGGTAATAATCTATGTCACATCACGCAAGAACAATTAATTAACCAAAATAAAAGGGTTTACCTTACGAATATTAGCCAATCACGAGTACTAACAGAAGGAACAGTGAGCTTACCCCTAACTCATGGAAATCATACATTCCAACATGAATTCCATGTAATTGAGAGTGATACTATCGACCCAGTGCAAGGAATTCTAGGTTTAGATTTTTGCGACAAATATAAAGCAAGCTTTAACTTCCCTGAGAATAACATGACAATTTCCATTAGTGATTCATATGCCAACATTTTAAAATTTGGAACCTTCCATTCTGGATTGATACGAAAAATTCCGCATGAAAATTACAGTCTGAAAGTGCATCCCCCCTCGGAAAAATATCGGGACCCCCCTAACACCAAAACCCCTGAACAAGAATCAGAAATCCCAGCTTTTTCGAAAAAATTCAATACAAATTGGGAACATAATTTAATCTTTGTAAATTCTCCCACAACTTTAAAACCTAATTCCACAACGCAAGTTGACTGCATAGTAAAATTTAGAAACAACTTTAAATTGAATACAAATTACATGTTTTCTCCCTATCAAATCTCAAGGAACGGGCTAATCCATTCCAGCAACTCCATAATTTTTGTAGATCAGGAAATAATTAAAATAACAATTTTTAATGAATCAACCAAAGAAGGATTCTTAAAAGCAGGAGCAATAGTAGGAAAAATACGGACAATGAGAATGCCAGAAAACTGGTTCCCTCCCAAAGAAAACCGAAATCCTCCAAAAATAGAAAGAAAAATCATATTTTCAAAAAATTCCCCCACTAATCAGAAAATCATAAAAAGCATAGAAGGGAAAGCCATGAAAACCTCAGAAGTAGAGAGACAGGGAACTAGATAACCAAAATCCCCCCAATTTCGCCACCAAAACGGCGAACGGAAAAAATCAGGAAAAGGAAATTTTGCATATAAAAATCAAATTAAAAAATCGCCGCGACCGAACAACAATAATCGCGAGACCGAATCCAAAAATACACCCGAAAACAACTTTGGCTACTTAACAGCGATCAAAGTGGCCAAGGACACGGTGCTACCACCGCGAGCAGAATTCATATGCGACGGAGCAATTAAGGAAAAATACAAAACGCCTGTAAGTGAATCGTTCTATTTTGAACCGGTAAGTTACATTAAGGACGGAGTATGGGCAGCAAGATCTTTAATCACAGTGTTGCCAAATTCTCAAATAATGGTTAGATTAATTAATGTAAATAATAAGGAAATTATCCTGCAGAAAGGCACCCCGCTAGGTTACTTAGACCCAATTGAAAGCTTATCAGTCAATCAACACAGCATCTCAATTGTCCCTTGTAATCAAATTAACAGGGAAAAAGGAAAAAGAAAGGTAAACATAGACCTATCTCACCTCCCGCCAGATAGAAGAGAAGCCCTACAAAATTTACTGGACGAATATAGTGACGTTTTTGTATTGGACCCAAATGAGAAAATTCAAACCACCCCTCTTTTAGAATTTGAGATCCCGACAGGCGACGCAAAACCCATCTACACAAGGCAATACAGACTTCCCCTAACACACCAAAGGCAATTGGTGGAAATGGCTGACAAATTAGTTGAAAAAGGAGTCTTAGAGAAAAACATTCCCAGCCCTTGGAACTCTCCAGTTATTACAGCCATGAAAAAGACCAAAGATGAACATGGTAGACCGAAAATAAGATTCATAAGCGACTTTAGAAAAATTAACCAAGTAATTGATGCCCCCCCATACCCCCTCCCCCTCTTAGACGACCAAATCGATCATTTAGGAGGAGCAACACATTTT